TAATGAATGAGAAGCCAGTTAGGAGGGAGGGAGAGAAACTAAGTGAAGAACTGAGGCAGAGAAAGGGCTTAGGGTTTTTGAAGAACAAAAGAAGGTGCATGTGAAAAGGAAGTATTGTGTGATGTGGTTGGAGAGGAGCACAGGAATGGATGGGGTTAGCTCCCTGTAAGCCATGACAGGCAGTTTTGATTCTGTTCCAAGTACATTGGAAGGCATATCCTTTAAAAATAGCACTGAGTAGGTTGCTGAGTAAGGGGTTGGATTGGGTGAGGCGAGAAAGAAACAGAAACTCAGTCATAGACACATTGCCTGAGCCACATAATATATGTCAGAAATTCGGCTAGTGTAGAGAACGCCTAGAGAAAGAGGGAACTAGATGGATTCTAAATACATTTTGCCAGTAGAATCCACCTTGTCAATTTTATCTGCAACAAACCAAAAGAACCAAAGAAAAACTTTTCCTAAGAAACACTTTGTTGAATGAGATGCCTTTGAAAAATTCTTCCTTTGCACTGTTTTTTACCTTACAAAACTATTCCCACAAATAAGCAATTGCTTAGTCAAACCAAGTCAAAGCAAAAAAATATTTTACAATGGCATAGGTAAAAGTTTTTTTAAATGTGCATGCACCCATATTTACCATTCTGAAGTTTGGGTTTGATTCAATATATGATTAAAATTACACAAAAATTTTTTAAGGAAATAATTTCGGGAATCACAGAAGCATGATGAATCATTTACATACCATATTTCAATGGGAAACTAGATTACCAGCTCCATTTTCACTAATTATTAAAGTGCTCACTATTCTCTTCAGATGCACAATTATATTCTCTGACATTTCTAGATGTCTTCAGGTGATGATCCTAATGCACGAAATGTATGACTTCCATTACCCTGAAAAACAAAAAGTGGTGATCACACCTCTGCAGGCCATTTCAGGATACGTGTACAATTTTGTTAATGCATAATTTGTGAGACCAATATTTTGATTCATCAATGTGTAGACATTCAAAAACAATTAAATGCCAAAAGTAGTACTGTCCGACATATAAAACATATTAAATATATGCTTCCAGTCAAAACAAACGAAGACCTGTGAAGGCTTGCCGGTGAAAGCGAAGTCTCACTAACATTCTCTACTTGATGAATAATAGAACTGTTGTTGATAATGAGCATTAGAAACATCATGGAAACCTCTGAAGCCACTGTGTGCTTGAATAAATTTTCATTTTTATTGCTTCACCCCATATGCCATGGTACAAATTCCTGCAAACTGAAGAATGGTTTCTTCGGCTTTTTAAACCTGCAATATGTTGTATCTACTGTCCAATTTTTATACCTTCAATATGGTGCATCAGGCAACGTACAATATACACATTCGATGAAGCTCCCTTTTAATGATTATGATCATTATTGTTATGATCCTCATTATTATTTTAGCCTCTTGAGTAAAAGCCAGTTTCAAGTTGGGCTTAGGTTTCCAAAGCTATTATCCAGCGCATAATAAGATAACTACTCAACAGAAACTACTAAAAAATCCTCCCTTCTTTCCTTTTCACAAACAAACAAATAGCAAGTGAAAACACTGCTTAGTCCAGAGGCACTAGGCAGATTACCTTCCTATCACCATGTAAATGTGGCCTCAGCACCAGGTGCTTTATTACCTCACCAAGGTCCCCAATTCTCCAAGGAAAAGGAAGTGTTGGCTTAAAGCACTGTCAAGAGCACACAGAAAAGCAGAGAGCCCTGTCTGCCTGTGGAGCACACGATGAGATTTGTCATCGTGCTCTACAATCCTTGACTGGGACAAGTGGCTTAAGCCAGCCTGCATCAGACCAAGAATGGTATATTGATCTCCTACAGAGGTGCCCCATCCTTTATATAGCATCCAACCAAAAATTCTTAGATGGTATTTCAAAATACAAAAGTGAAATGCCAGTTAAATCCTTAACCTATGTTCAGGTAAGGAAAGAGTAAAATGACAATTAACATTTTTAAGCCTTAATTAATTAAAATTGTCAAAGAACTGGAGTTTCAGGGAAGGCAAATCAGAACAAAGTAAGCCATATCTAGAATTTAGTCCACAGTGCCACGTATAGGTATGCCTAGGGATATAATAATACACTGCGGGTTTTGGGGTTTTTTTTTAATTTCTTTTGTCTTTAGCACAACAAAACTTTGAAGAATTGCAAGTTTTTTATAATGAAAAAGGAAGGAATTGAAAGTTTCTTACACTTTTCTCTTCTTCCCTGACCCAAAGTTTATATTATTCATAAAGCGTTGCTGTACTCACATCATCATTGTTATTACTTTTTTAATCCTCATAGAGGATATATTTTTTACTGATTTATTTTTTTGAATGAGAGAGAGAAACATCTATGTATGAGAGAAACACCAAGTGGTTGCCTCCCATACATGCCCCCACCGAAGATCGAACCCACAACCTAAGTATGTGCCCTGACTGGAAATTGAACCAGCAACATTTCAGTGCATGGGGTGATACTCCAACCAACCAAGCCACACTGGCCAGGGTACATTATTTTTTTAATCACTTTTTAAATTATAAAACTAATACATTCTCATTACAAAAAAAAAAAAAATCAGAAAATACATACAGGCATAATGGAGAAAATAAATTAAGTGCATCTATTGGAGAAAAGCCCTGAAAGTCTAAATTCAGAATCAGTTCCAAAGAACTGACACGTAGCCTTAATCAAATTCATAAGAGCTTAAATAGGAGAAACTTACACACATGGGCAGAGCAGCTGCTCCCAGTGGTGGTGGGCCAGGAAGAATCCATACCCCTTCCAGGACAGGGTCTCTTTCTAAAGGTGCTTAATAGTAAAACCATATGGTGGATAGTCACATAGAACAATAAATTCCTAAATGAACAGATAACATCAGGCAGTTATTACACTCTATACATTCATTAACCTCCTTCCTGGGGGCCCAATCTTTGTCTTTGGTTGGCAATCTGGTTTTCTGCACAGTCAACCAAGGTTACAGAGAGTCAAACAGAAAAGAGACTAAACAGTTACAGAAAGTTCAACATTTCCCCGATGCCTTTGGTGCTAGAGCCATATTGCATCTCTAAAGTGAGTGCCTCTGCAACATCCATAATCCCTCATTCAAAAAATTAAGTCCTAGTATGTTATGGTGGGATCTTCTAGCCTTTTTCTATGCATATGTATTTCCTCTGATTATGATATAAGAAAAAAGCCCAAATATGTAAACATATAAACCCCCAAATCTCACTACTGTTAAACAAATTCAAAAACTAAATTCAGAAGGTAACCAACATTTTGATCACTGAATTCTGAATTACACAAATCACTAATAAATTTAATAATGCTCATCTAGCTTCTCTCCCCTCATATTTGTTAATTAGTCCAGTCACAGATAAACCACTTCCTAATTCAGAAAAGAGCTTTCCCTGTGCTTCTGTCTTTCCATGTTGGAAAGGATTCAGTAGTTGTTCACTTTCTGATTCTAATAAAAAGTGCATTAAAAAATGCATTATAGAATTTCGAAAAAATGAAAGAACTCTTAAAAAAAAATAAACCTGATCTGTAGAAATTTTCTTTCCAAGTGAAAGCAGATTTAAAATATTTACTAATTATTTCTCTGTTGCAGTCAACACCATCAGATTTGTCACAGATGATATTAAGGCATATGATGTCAACATTTTCTGAAAGTAATAAAGCAAACATTTTCTATAAGTTAGTAAATATTTTTGGCTTTGTGACCATACCGTCTCTGTTCAACTACTCAGCTCTGCTCAGCTTTCTCTTACACCATAAAAGCAGCCATTCACAATATATTATATGAACAAATGGGCATGTCTGTGTTCCAATAAAACTTTATTTACAAAAACAACATTTTTCTGGAGACAGATGATGGTAATGATTTCACAACAATGTGAATGTATTTATCGCCACTCAGCTGTATACTTCAAAATAGTTAAAGTAGTAAAGTTTATGTTCATTTTACCACAATTAAAAGCTAACAAAAATCCCCCACAAGATTTTGCCTATATGATATTCTTTTCCAGCTGGCAGACAACCAACGTCTTTCTGCCTAAAATATTTTGTGATTACATGGTTTCCCTGAAACTAAAAAGATTCCAAAACTTGATGCATAAATACTTATAAAGATAAAATTGCTCTTCTACCAAACCTTTCTCTAAATACTCTGGAATATTTAAAAGTGTTTTTTATTCTAGTATTACAAGCAAACTAAAATGGTGTTAGTAGTTTTTCACTATCACCTAACTTGGGGTGAACTCCAAATGTTTAGAATTTATAGTATGTAGCAGTGAGCAGGTTGCCTGCTCTGGGGAAAATGTCTTGAGTAATTAAAAGTGCACAAAAATAACTTACTTTACTAGGCAACCTACCTCTTTAACAACTTATAAATTAAATGAAATACAACAGGAAAGACGTCATCTGAATACCATCAGAGTTCTGATTTTGCAATGTATTTTTTATATAGTTCAAATTTCCAAGGCACCATACAACTGTGCACTCCAATTTTATTTCTAATTGTTTTCGTTTAAAACCTACGTTAATAATTGCTTGATGTGGTGGTTTTCTTCAGATTTGTAGTTAATTTCAATAAAATATATTATTAACACCTATATTTTGCTTAACTTTAGATGTATTCATGTATACACAGGCTAAAGGCTAAAAATAAAAGTTCTTTTGGGGGATTTTGTGTTTTGTTTTGCTTTTCAGTTTTCATTGTAGCTCTGAGAAGAAGCCAACTGGATTCTTTTTCAGTGTAGTCAGGGCTAGCTTTTGCTCTGCCACACCATGATTAATTTATTATTCATCTGGTCCCTTCCCATTAAACATTGTCTTTAGCCTGTGAACTTTTCTTTCAGCTTCCAACAAAGGATTTCATTGCTTTAGGAATTGAGGTGTGTCTAAGTTTTTACCTGGGAGCAAAAGTGATTCAAGCGTTTCTGGTGAGACCAATCCTGGGGTGAGGGTGGGGAGGAACCGAATAACAGGTCCTCTGTAGACTCCTGAAGACCGCAGAAACCTATGCAGACGGAGCAGAAGGGCTGAAGCAGCAGTTCCCCGGGGATTTGCTCAAAGAGGAACTCAGAGACAATGACTTGGTTCCTTTTTAGAATCACAAGGACTCTGACCATTTTAATGGTAAGTTTCTACTTTTGCTTCTAATAATGGTAAACTTTCCCTGTTTCTTTCCTGTTAGAGAGTATCATATTTGATTGCTGAATCCCTATTACAAAGTCTAAGAGGGTACAGTGTAACAGACATAAAATTGTAAATCCCTATTATAAAGTCTAAAAGAGGGCAGTGGAAATAACATTTTAATATGCAATTGTAAAGATTACTAATCTCTTCCTTTATGTTGTTGTTTTTTAATGTATTTTACATAGAAAACTAAACCAGAGGGAAATGAATTTCAAAGTTCTCTATTTAGCATTTCTTTAGTTAGCGAATCAAATAACCCTGATCTCAGATCTATTTTCCACAACACCTTTACTTTCTCAAAAGCAATGTTTTTATCCTTCTTTTTAATTCACAAGCTAAAACACATAAAAGAGAACCAGGTTTATTTTCCAAGGTTACATATCTGTTAAGCATATGGCTAAGAACTGTACATGCCTGGTCTTGATACATGACATGTTTAATAGTCGAGGGTTGTTGAAATAAATTCAAAGCGATGTTGCACTCTAGAGAAGTTGAGAGGATTATTAAGGAAACAGTGTCTATGTTTAGTCATTATGTGCAAAACATATCCAGCTTTGTAGGAGAAATACATACAACATTTTATAAGATCCTTTTCTCAGAAAATAATATTTTTGTTGGGTAGTACTTTCATCCAAAAAAGAAGTGGAATCTGCAGAGCAAAGCACTAGCCTGGATGTTATACAGACTAGTTGGTTCCTTAATGATGTTATTTTAGTGGGGGAAAAAGTCACAATATTATCAGTTACATAAAGATAACAAAATAATGAACAAACTTTTAAATTCCTAATACTAATTCCTCACTTTATCAACAATGAACTGGGTTAGCCTGGGCATCAGTTTCCTTTGCCTCCTCAACTGTAAAATTAAGATATTGGATTTCAAGAAGTTACAGAGAGATAGATCTCAAGGAAGAGCTTTCTAAAATTTAAAGGTGTCTAAAGTTAAAACAGGCTGCCTTGGGAGCCAGGGAGATTCCCAGCCTTCCCTCTCATGATGATGTTCAAGCAGAAGATTGGTATTATACTTTTTGTTAGAGTCTGTTTTTATTATGACAATGTAACTATAATTTAGGGGAGCACTGATCCCCATGCAGTAAAAAATCTGTGCATAACTTTTGACTCCCCAAAAACTTAACTACCAGTAAGCCTACTGTTCACTGGAAGCCTTACCAATAAAATAATCAGTCAACTAACACATATTATGTATGCTTTATATATATATATATACATGTATATAATACATTGTATTTTTCTAATAAAGTAAGCTAGAGAAAAAATGTTATTGAGAAAATACACTTAACAGTATTTATTGAAAAAAATTCCCATGCTGTTCAAGAGTCAACTGTAATTGTTTTGGTTAGGTAATGTATTTATTTGACCCAAGAATATTACAAAGAGATATATGACAGTTGAATGACTTCCCACCTTTCCAAATGGTCATTTCTAGACTAAACCACAGGTAACCTAATAACCTATACATCCAAGTCAATGACTAACTCAGGAAGCTAGGAAATAAAAGGCAGAGAGTGTCAGAACAGTTTTATCATAAGTACATAGAATTAAACCCCCCCAAGCTGAGGGGAGCTCTTTCTGTTTTGAGGCATATCACTCTAATTATCCCTCTAATTCCAGAGTGACTGTGAGATCCTTATACCAAAGGCTGTTTCATTCATTTTTTATCCCCAATGTCTACCATAATATCTATGTTACAGTGGACACTAAATTGTTTGAAGAATAGAAAAATGAATGAGTAAATAAATAAGGCTTCTCTAAACTATAACTCTCTCTCTCTCTCTCTCTCTCTCTCTCTCTCACACACACACACACACACACACACACACTCATAGTGCCTCTATAATGCTAATCATGGAGGAAACTCTGAAATGTTAAACATTTTTCTCCCCTCAAGAAACTTTTATACACACACACAAGCTATTTAAACAATATAACTTTATACGTAATTATTAAAGTGAGTGGTCTAGACCTACTCTGTCCAAAATAGCAGCCACGAGCCACATGTGGCTATTAACCATTTGAAATGAGATAGGTCTGAATTGAGAAGTGCTTTTTCCACTTAAGTGTAAGATATGCATCATATTTTGAGGACTCTGTATGAAAAAAAAGAAGGGGAAATAAATCATTAATAATTTTTACATTGCTTACATATTGAAAATGATAGTATTTGGGATATATTAGCTAAGATGTATGTTAAAATTAATTTTACCTTTTTAAATCTTTTTCAATATGATTATTAGAAAATTTGAAATTATGCATGTAGTTCTCATTATACTTTCATTGGACAATGCTGGTCTACTATTCATGCTATTAGTGGAAGGCAGTGTCAATCAAGAGAGAAATTGGCAAATGAGGTTTCCAGGACTAGGTAAGATTTGGTAACTATAGATGGGCCAAAGGGAGATATCTTCCCGTCAAACGAACGTGAGCAAAGGCAGGTACAATTATGACATTTGCCTAGGGGCAGTTGACGCACTGGTTTGGCCGGAATGACAGTTTGCATAGGAGAATCTGGACATGAGCTGGAAAGGCAGATGAGGGTCATATTGAAAAGTACATTCTGTGAAGGCTAATGGCATCCTTTCTGAAGTGGAAACCACCCAGAGTTTCGAAATAGTATGGTGACGGGGAAAAAAGCAGTGATTTTAGAAAGCATTGTCTAGTGTGAATGCACATCTTTTGTTGTTGAAGGGTGGGGTCTGAACGTGGGAAAACATGTTTGGAGGTTTTGAACTAATTCCACCATCTTATGATCACACAAGTGTTGCCTAAAGAGGTGAGATATAATAGCAAAGTCACAGACTTCTATCCACGCCTGCATTACTGACTCACTCCAGCCCTTATTCCTCAACTGTCAAATAAGAATGAATAAAGCCCCTGCCTATGTTAAAATAGCCATAGTGAGAATAAAACAGTGGGCAAGAAAGTCCTTTGGAAAATATAAAATGCTTCTTAAGACTCTAACGCCTATCATTTGTAATATATTAGTAATTAAGATGATTCTTGATAATGTCTTAATATTCTGCATTACTATTTATTTATCACTTTCTTGTGCTTGTTTGATCCATTTTGCACAATATAAAATATGCATTTTGGGGAAAGGATTTGTGATTGAAAAATGCTTATCTTCAGAGATCTAACCTTTTGAAAACAATATTTGTTTTCAAAGGACACACTGTTCAGTGTTTTATAGTCCACAAAATATGAAACACACTTTGTCATATAGTACCTCTATTTCTATCAGGACAATAAGCTTTTTAATTTTATGTTTTTATATTATATAAAATTTTACTCACTACAAAACTGATGGAGATGTCTGAAACCCAAATATTTTTAAAGCACAATATTTTTAAGTTAATAGTGGTAGGGCTGGGAAAAAGACCTGTGTGGCTCAGTGGATTGAGCATCGTCCTATGTACCAAGAGGTCACCTGTTCGATGCCTGATCAGGGCACATGCCCAGGTAACAGGCTTGATCCCCAGTAGGGGAAATGCAGGGCACTGATGTTTCTCTCTCTCCCTCTACCTTATTCTCTCTAAAATCAAGAAAAACATTTTTTTTAAAAGAAAGAAGTAGTTTAAATATCAACTTCTGAGAAAATGTGCTCTAAATGCAGAGAAACTGTCTTTAATCACCTTCTTCTATAGAATATCTAAAAAATAAAATTTTAGGGAAAAAAGTTGTAGACTAAATGGCCCAAATTTTTAACAGAAGGAAAATCTTTGAGGTATCTTTTATTCTCTTGATTGTTGAAACAGTCTGGTTTCCAATGCTAATTAAGGTATGAAAATTAATTGCCTCCTGATCCTCTCTTACGGTTAAGTGTCCAAATCAGAATAACCTTGCCAAGCAATTCTGGCCAACCCCGCCTAACTTGAGCAGAAGTCAGGAAAGGTGTAATTACTTCTACCAATTACCACTCCCATTACCTAACACCTGAAACCAGTTTTCCTTTGGAACCAGAACACTCAATACCCATGAGGCTTCTCAAAAACCTCTAGCCTTTCACGCTTCCCTTCCAGTTAAGAGTCAATCTGATAGCCTAAGGTGAGGGCTGGCTTTGGGAAGTTCCTCACGAGAAAAGTATATAGACAATTGGTGACCATCTATAAGAATACTATGAATAAATGCATCTGTCTGATGTGCACATTTTTCTTGCATGTGCGATTGGCCGGGTTTGCACTGCACAGTTCCAGGGGTGCATTCACATAAACTACAATGTCAGCTTCCCCTTGGAGTTGTGCAAGGAACAAACCACACAATTGTTCAGAGGAGAACTGGTTCTTGTCTCTTTCTGATGCTCAAAAAAGAGAAAGTTTGTATGTGCCTTGATATGAATAGTAATAATAACAGGTTACTTCATATCAAAGTGGCTCTTTTATACCTTTTTTTAAAGTTTGGTGCAGAGGTGATTGACACTTACTAAGCATATACTGTGGGCTAGGTCTCCTCTATGGGCTTTATACCTATTAATTCATTTAATCCTTATTTTACAGATGAGAAAATTAAAAGATTAAGTAATGTTTCCAAGTTATACAGCTGGTCCATCTTGAGACTGGATTTAATTCAGGGTCCAGTGTGCAATTTTTTTTGTTACTATATTTAACTGCATCTTATATAGCATTTAAAATGAGCATTTGAGAATATCCAGGGGTATTTGTTTTTATTAGCATCTCTATCATGATATAAGGTTTAACTTTCTAAATTAATTGAGTGTACTCTAAAATTCAATTACTGAAATTGAATTGTCCTAAATCAAATAAGAATTTCCAAGAAAATAAACATACCACTTTTGTTCAAGTAAGAAATGTGGCTTGAAGATCTGGAAACAGCCCTAATGTCCATCAGTAGACAAATGGATAAAAAAGCTGTGGTACATATACACAATGGAGTATTATGCAGCTGTAAGAAAGAAAGATCTCTTATCATTTGAAACGACATGGAGGGACCTGTAAAGTATTAGCCTAAGTAAAACAAGCCAAACAGAGAAAGACAAGTATCATATGATCTCACATATTTGTGGACTATAATGAACAAAACAGTCTGAGGAACAGGGTAGTCCCAGAGACATGGAAGTGGGGTACAGACTGACAATCCCCAGAAGAGAGGGTGGGGGGGAGAGATAAACCACACAACTTATATGCATGTATGCATGAACAATGGACGTGGACAACAAAGCTGGGGACAGGGCGGTTAGGGAAGGGGAGGGGATATCAGTGGTGAAAAAAGGAGAAACATCTGTAACAAAAATAAATTAATTAATTAAGAAAAAAAAGAAATTTGCCTAGATGAATACAAAGTTTATTAGAATTTTTAGGGGGTGTTAAATTTTAATTTTAATAAGGATACATAGACGATAGATAGATAGATAGATAGATAGATAGATAGATAGATAGATAATGATAGATAGCGATGAGATTATAAAAGATAAATCACTCACTTCTTCAGAATTATACATGTCATTTATTCATCAAACATGTACTGATAATCTCTATGACCTGACACATTAATAATCATTGCATATAAACAATTATAAAAATGATATCACCAACCTACATATATTGCATGACGTTTTTTACAAAAATAATTAAATAACAAATCATGTTGAAGAGTTGGAATGATTTCTTTGAATTACCTAATTTATTCTCCAAATTTGCCAGAGGGGAGTGGGTGAGGTCCTCCCTTATACCCATTCTAGAGATGAGAAGAGTTGCTATGCCCTAGGCCAGCTGGGACTAGCTCCATGAATTCAATGCATAAGCCAACTCTCTATCCTTTCCACACTAAAGGTTGAAGTAACGCCAAATAAAATTATAACCAAACTAAGTAACATAGCAGTTGTTATTTAAAATGGGTTTTGAAAATCTAATCACCTATATCCTTAAAATTTATTGATTGTGTATCTACTATATTCAGTACACACCTTTATAATATAACTATATACATTTTCATTAGCAAATAGGGCATATGGATATCAAATCAGTTTATTTCATATGCTATTTTATCAAGTTAATAATCCAATTTGATTTTAATGAAATATTTTTAATTCTTAGCTATACCAAGGTATTTATGCCATATCAATGCTTTAAAAACCATATAATCTGCCCTGGCCTGTGTGGCTTAGCGGTTAGAGCATTGGCCAGCACGCTGAAGGGTCATGAGTTTGATTTCTGATCAAGGGCACATACCTGGTTTGCAGTTTGATCCCTGGCTCTGGTCAGGGCACTTTTGGAAGCCAACCAATTGATGTGTCTCTCTCACATTGATCTTTCTCTCTCTCTCTCTCTCCCTCCCTCCTTTCCACTCTCTCTAAAAAGCAATGGGAAAAAAATCTTCAGGCAAGAATTAACCAAAAAAATTTTAAAAATAAAAAACATATAATTATAATTATCAAAATAGCCAGGAAACAAAAAGGAGAAAGAAAAGAATCAGAATTATCAAGATAAGAAATGCTTTCTCCACATTGATATTTCTAACCCAGGCCACCAGAAGAGACAACTTAGTTGATTTATATTGTCAGGAAACTCCTCAAATAGTTATTAAATATTGAAAATAATTATATTAGCAAATTAACTAAAACAATTAAGTTCTTAAAAACACTATTCTAAATAATGTACGGCTACAATTATATTTCTTTCTTCTAAATTTTTTTCTTTATTGATTTTAGAAAGAGAGGAAGGGAGAGGGAGAGAGAGAGAAACATCGATGAGAGAGGACATTGATTGGCCACCTCTTGCACTCTCCGCACTGGGGATCGGGCCCAGAACCTGGGCATGTGTCCTGACCAGGAATCGAACCAGTGACTTCTTGGTGCATGGGTCAATGTTCAACCACTGAGCCACACCAGCCAGGCTACAATTATATTTCTAAATGTCTAAAGAGCATTTCAAAATTTAGACGTGTTTCTTATTAACTACCCCAGATTCCTAGAAGAGAAAAAATAATCACATTTTCACAATACTCCCTAAAATTAGGGAGCACTCTTGATTTTAAAAGAGAGGATGAGAAAGAGTGAAGGTTTAGTCCTTTTTAAGGACTCTCATGCTATGAAAAGATTGAACAAATAAGAAACAACTCTCTGCAATGTTCATTCTCCATAGTTTAGGGTTTGTCCTTCCTTCCTATGCCTCCCAGGAAAACAGAAATTGTACTTCTGTGTCTACTAGAAAAACCATTTTCTGTGAAGCTACTACCAACATGACTCATATTTTCTGGATGACTCTTCTTAGTTTTCCTGTAAAGGGGAGCATGCCTGGCCCACTCCTCCCTTAGAAAGGAGCAGTACAATTACTACATTGCTCTGTTCTCTCCCATGCAACTGTGATAGCGTTTAATAAAAAGCAGCAAAGATATAAAATAAGTTTGAGACCTGTTATAACAGTATGTAATGGTTCTTTTTCATGACATTTTGAACACACACCCTTGGAAATAAAGATTTCAATGAAAATTGTAGAATGGAAAGATCCTGGCCTCCTTATGTCTGATATAGTTACTCCTTTGGTTCAGACTTGGAGTTACCTCTTTATCATGATCTTCCAAAATAAACATTGTAATAAATCTATATTGTTTCAGGAGTAACCTGCAGCTTTTGCCAGGGAAAAAAATCGAAATTGACTATTATAAAACTTTCTCTCTACCACTACGGTTTTTAAAATGTCTTTATGCTTACTTTGGTTAGAATCCATGGTAGTGGTGATATAGACACTTGGAGTCAGGCTGCCAAGGTTCAAATCCCGTCCCTACTCGGTCTGTTAGCTGGGTCAAAGTACTCATTTTCTCGTGTCTCCTCTTCTTTACCCATAAAACAGGGATTATAAGAATAGCCTCATTCCGATGGCTGTTCTAAGTATTAAGATAATAAATATAAAGCTCTGTGAATAGCAACTGACACAAAACCATAATAATCACTAGCTACTATTACTACTTTATTTTTTTTCTTTTGATTTATTTCCACAATCTTTTCTCTACTGGTTGGTCTTCAGATCAGGTGATCAGTGGATCAAAAAATAGTTGCGAAACATCTGCTGAGGAACAGATATTGTAAGAACTGCAAAAAAAAATAATAATATAGAAGTATTGATCTGAAAAGTTTACAGTTCTCTTGGCTTAGCACTATAATGCACATAAAACAATAAGAAATACTAAATCATGGCAACCATTATGGGCTAAATTGCATGGTTCAGAATATGCGTTGTATACACTTGGAAAAGGAGACATCGGTAAAAATAGTTTCGGAGACCTTGTTGGAACTTGAATTGATCTTAAAAGATGAGTAATCTTTAAGTGGGTGAAGGGGAAAGAAGAATGCATTCCAGGTGGAAAACAAGATAGAAAATGGCATAGAAGAAGGTCCTGTATGCTTTTGAGAAAGTAAAGACCTTAGCTTGTCTGCCTTCACCTTTTATCCTCCTTTAATCTTTCAGATAAGTAAGAAAATTAAGTTCATTATTTAAATTGAATAGGGCAGAGATGAGTAGATCCGTGACCCATAGCAAACAGTACTTGTGATTGGAATAACATAACCCCATCTTTTATGCTCCATTCTCTAAACCTAACTAGTCCCACTCCATTATGTCCACTCTTGAACAACTAAAAAAATGCCTTACCCTGCAGCTAACTAATGCAGAATTGCCTTTGCTCAAGTCAGTGGGGTAGGCCATGCTTTTTATTTTATTTTATTTTATTTTTATTTTTTATCCTCATCCGAGAACATTTTTGCCTTTATCCTCAGATAGAGCAGGAGGGAAAGAGAAACATCAATGTGAGAGAAGTACATGGAGTGGTTGCCACCCACACAACCCCACCTGAGCAGGGGACAAACTGCAACCGAGGTATGCACCCTTAGCAGGAACCGAACCAGGGACTCTCTGGTCCACGGGCCGACACTCTAACCACTGAGCAAAACTGGCCAGGGCGGTCATTGCTTTTTAAAATTGCCTGTGGAACTTTCTGAAATTCATCACAAAGATGATTGCCATTGGTTGCCAAAGCAATAATTTCCTTATCTCCTGGGAAGTATTTATAGAACAGCCAGATTTGGATTGTCTGGTTGTTACAAAGAGATTTTCAAAATCCAATAGATTCTTCTGTATATTTTTTAAATTCTGTAATCAGATTAAAGAACTACAAGAACTGGTCTATAGTGAGAGCACTTTCTTTTTTCTGGGAGGATTTTACCCCTTGAATACTGTTTTTCCAAATCTATGTTTTTTTGAAATAGAAACAAACTATAATATGAACAGTAGAATGTAAATATCAGGATTATTATCTTAAGTAGTTAGTACTTATTTGGAAAATTCACATTTAATTTTACTTTATTTAAATGTCTGCAGGTGATCCTACTGGTTCATGGAGAAATGAGAATAGAGGTAAAGTATGAAAAGGTTTTTTTGTAATTAAAATAGTAGTTCCATTAAATTGTGTTCAGGAAAATAAATATTAAATTTTTTAAATCATTTAACAATTTAATTGTGAAAACAAATTAAAATTCTAACAACTAACTAATAATGTTTAAATACCAGTAAACTGTAAATGTTATTAATATAATTTATATCATGCATTGTTTCTTCTTGTGTTAAATCAACAGGTTTCAATTAAGCGGGGCTATGTGCCCAGCATAGTTAGATATTGTGGAAGATATAAAGAAAATATAAAATATGATTAAATGCTATATTAAAAATCACATAGCTATGTAATTCTTTTAGTTATTTAATGTTTCTTCTTTGACAAAGTATAGAGCAACTTAGACATCTTACAGCCTTAGGTATCTTGAAACATAGGAGGCTCCTCAACCTATGTATCCATAATCAATTCTCAAAGCAAAAATATCCAACAATTCCATAATAAAATGGAATCCCTTTTTACATAAGATAAAAGAAGTACACGGAGAAAATGGGACAGCAGTACAAGCCAAAAGGAGATATAAACGTGAATGGGTCAAATTTGCAAGACCCTGCAGAGAAGAAGAAGACAACTCGAAAAGAAACCCCATTGCCACAGTAAGTCATCTGAGTAGGCGCAGTGTGTTTTTGGAATAAATGTACTAGATATAAATTAAAATTAAAATAGGGCAATTACAATTAGCAAAATGCAGACTGGGGAGTCCACAAAACAAATTACCTGATATCTACAACCAAAAAAAACCCCCAAACCAATAATAATAATAGAGCTAGATAAAGATGAAGGAACTATGGCCCCTAGAGTAATAAAAAATAATTAAAAGACACATGGACCAATTTCAAAGGATAATCCTTATTTAGATCCAGATTCTAGCAAATAGAAAAAAATATATGAATGAGACAATTAGAAAAATAGTTGGGGGTCAACTTTGGATTTACCATGTATTCTTAATTGTGGGAGCTGGGTAATCAAATATATCAGGTTCATTATACTATTCTAACTTTATATATCTTTGAAATTTTCCATATTATAAAAAGCTTAAAATTAAAATAATAAAAAGCAATACATTTTAATACTATATAATACATTTCCCTTTTTTCTCTCAAACTTTCCCTATTTAAATTAAAATAAACGTCTTTTCTTTGTTAACTGTTAAGAAAAGAAATATTCAGAAGTACCCTTGTCAATATTAAGTGTCTTTAACTTTCTCTCAACCTTTTAACATCACCCTGGTGGCCACAATCTAAGCAAATGTACTAAAACCAAAATGATTAACACATATTGGTCCATGCTGTTCAACAGAAGCAACAATTGGAATTTATGTCATATTTCTAGTGTCTATCAAGGTAAAAAGTAAACAGCACAGTGTCAGAAGGAGTAAATAAAAGGAACAGATGATTTAAGAATATAGAGGTGGAGGAAAAAGGGGGAAGGAAAAGTCCTGAGTGATGATCACCTTAACATTTTGGTTATTGTTGACTGCAGATTAGTTCAGATTTCCAAAGAACACAGAAAATTACCTACCGAATTTCTGGAATGGGAATTGATCGGCCCCCTTTGGGAATCTTTGTTGTTGACAAAAATACTGGAGAAATTAACATAACAACCATCGTTGATCGTGAGCAAACCCCAAACTTCCACGTAAGTAGTGTCTTCAACACTGGGCACCCTTTTCCCCCTCATGTACCATGGCTTTAGAAGATGATATTGTTAGTACTGGTTAATTTAGTAGACAGATAAGTGCATAAATCAATCCACCAACAAATAACATCATTAGTCTCTCGACAAAGAGCCTCTACTTCTGATCATACCCCTGAAGAAACTCACCAGGAGGTGCATGAGTACTAAACTCCCGCATGCATCCTGCCAAGAGCTTCACCCTGCCATGAGTCAGTATCAACCTGGAGGATGGGCAGCTGGCCCAATGGGCCTGCCTAGAGTGGGCACTTTTCCCTACTTCGTCTACTCTTTGGGGAAATATTTTTCTCCTTTGCACAAAAATTCCGTACATCCCAGGGCAGGCTTACAGTATGCAAAGTAAGTTTGTTAAATGAGATTTAACATTTTCCCTGTTTTTTTTCTTTCTTTCTTTTCTAGATCACATGTCATGCTGTAAATGCCATAGGACAAGATGTAGAGAAACCACTTATATTAACGGTCAAAATTTTAGATATCAATGACAACCCGCCAATATTTTCACAAAGTATATTCATGGGTGAAATTGAAGAAAACAGTCCTTCAAGTAAGCATTTTTACAGTACCTAGCACTGCTATTTTTTTTTAAATTGTCAAATTGTATTTCTAGGTGTGGCTCTGTTATGAGGTCAATAGTATCTTATTCCACACATCCAAGTTACATTAGTACCCCACAGTTATAAAGCTAAAGAGGTGGTCTTAGGTAGCCTGGATGCAGCAGCAGGGCTTTTTTTAGACTATAAGGGACAGAAGCACTCTCACATTACTTGGATAATTTGGGGGAAAGGGAGAATCATAAGGCCATCCATCAAGGGAAGAAACAAAGGCAGAAAATACTCTCAACCCCGACACAGCCAAAGCTTAAGGAGAACTGGAGGATTTTTATGAAAGGTAGTACAGTTCTACCTGATTAAGACAGACAGCAATTGACATGTAATATTTTTGAGCATACATATAGTTATAAAATCTTAAAAAACAGAGATTAATTTGAAATAGTGTTGAATATTTAATGTGAACACAATATCAATGACTACATATTGTTTAATGAACTTCTGTATTCCTAGACTCATTGGTGATGATACTAAATGCCACAGATGCAGATGAACCAAACCATCTGAACTCTAAAATTGCTTTCAAAATCATCTCTCAGGAACCTGCAGGCATACCCATGTTTCTCCTTAGCAGACACACTGGGGAAATCCGTACTTTGACCAATTCTCTTGACCGAGAGGTAAAGCAATGCACTTGGAAGCATTTAAAAGTGAAAGATTTTATTTAAGAAAGCCAAGAGAGGTGACTCTGTTTCACCTGAGATGAAAGGAAGAGAGAGTTCCCGTACACAACTGGGCCAATCTCGGGGAATTGGCTGCATTCTAATATGATTCCAGTGGGATGGGAGTGTACGTGGTCCCTGCAAAACCAATGGTGCCCAGCATGTCAGTGGGTGCCACAGCAGACGAGTAAAAGAAGGCATTGGCATGCAAGGACAAAGACCAACTATGACTAATTCCTCATTGATGGAGGAAAAGAAAATTTCATACATGAAGGGAAAACTTTCTATCGGGAAAATGTCTTCTCTGATGTCACACTTTTTTCCTGACTTTCTTTCATTTTATCCCCTGCTTCCAGAACACTAAAGAATCTCCTTCCTCTCTCTTCCTCATCATTCTCCCACCACATCACCATCACCGTACACTATGCCATCATACTCCATATTACTTTTATACAAATGATTCCCTGAATAGACTGACAGGAAAACTCTGTAAGTGAGCTTCCCTCAGATAAGCATTCCACCATCATCATTGCCCATTTTTGTTCTAAGTGTACTTTCTTGCCCTGAGAAGCTCACAAAAGAGAAAATCTGTTCTAGCCCCATAAAGACATCTACCCAACCATCCAGAGTCTCGCTTACCCCCTTTGTGATGGACAGTAAACAATGCACATGAACTTGAATATTTCCCCCTTCTTAGTCATAGGAAGCAAGTAGTTGTCGTTCATATTCTTGGTACTAGAGAGTAACTATTTTTCTTCCTTTGCTCCAAATTCAGCAAGTTAGCAGCTATCATCTGGTTGTGAGTGGTGCAGACCGAGATGGAGAAGGACTATCAACTGAATGTAAAACTAACATCAAAGTGAAAGATGTCAATGACAATTTCCCAATGTTCAAAGAATCTCAGGTATACCCGTCACTCTTTCAAAAATAATTTTTATAGATTTTTATTGTATACTTTGCCACCTGAATTCAGCATTTGTCTGCTTGCGGGCTTGTATTTAAGTTCTCTGCACTTTTTCTTTAAAAAATAAGCTTTTGTAAAATATAAGAATTCAGTAACTGGCAAGGAGGCAATACATAATTCGAGAATTAATGACTGATAGCATTCAGAATAAATACAATCCCTTTCAATAAAACCTGACATTGAATCTTAAAGTCTGCTTCTCCCCTTTTTAGTATTCAGCACGTATTGAGGAAAATACTTTAAGTTCTGAGTTGCTTCGATTTCAAGTAATAGATTTGGATGAAGAGTTCACAGATAATTGGCTTGCGGAGTACTTCTTTACTTCTGGAAATGAAGGAAATTGGTTTGAAATACAAACTGATGCTAAGACTAACGAAGGTATCCTGAAAGTGGTTAAGGTAAGGTCTGATTTCCCTTCAGTGGCAGAAATATTCTCTGTTAGCCAAAACTATCCTTTCTACAAATAAACATTATGCACTTATTAATCATACCACTTTTTTTCTAGAAAACTTAGAAAACACATTAAAGGGATCAAATCTTTAAAAAGCACACACACAGCCCCATTACCTAAGCACAGCCTTTTTTGACATGTTGATTTATTTCCTTCCAAGCTACCATACATTAGTGTACCTTCCAAGCACACTAATATGTATATATATTTAGAAGTATGCCTGATTTAAGCACAACAAAGTAAAACACATTTCTTGACTTAATCTCATTCACTCTCTACAAATGAAGTTATAAAGAGGTAGAAACACATGGAATTGTGGCTTATTTTGAATTTGTCAACTTATTTTCAGTGGATTAGCTACAGTTGTCAAGGGGGGAAAAAGGCACATTTTTCTAGAAAATAGGAATCTATAACTAAAGCTGTAAGGTGAAAAATGAGTAATTGAGAAAAGTTTCCATTTAATATGCTTGGCTACAGTAAACCCCCCCTTCACACACACACACACACACACACACACACACACACACACACACACTACACACACCACCAACTGGAATAACAAAAAGATATTTCTGAGTATTCACCGGGTAGCTCAGTTGGTTAGAGCATCATCCCAATATGCCAAGCTTGTAGGTTCTATCCCCAGTCAGGGCATATAAGAATCAACCAATGAATGCATAAATAAGTGGAACAAAAAAAAATGTTTCTCTCTCTCTCTTTCCCTTCCCCTCTCTCTAAAATCAATTAATTAATAAAAAATTTTTTAAAAAAGGATATTTCTGCCTGGATATTGTATAGACTAGAAAAAATAACCACTACTTGGGGACATTTGTTGGCACAGGATATTGGACTATGTGAGAGCTTTCTCTAATTCCTTGAGTTCAGCAGAATAATAGACTCATAGCATCCCCTTAACAGGGAGATTGCTGGAAGTCTTGACAGCATTCTCTCTGCTCTTTTTTCAAAGAGTGGGCTAAACCAAGCTCAGTTACGAGAGTTTTGCCATAAATTCCCAGTAGTGCCTGAGAATGAGACGTTCCCTGTCTCCTGCATTTTGGCCCCAGAAACCTGGGCCTTATCCTTTCATTCCGGCATTTCCTCATAACTCATAGCCAGTCATCAAATTCTGCCCTAGAACCTGTCCTTAAAATATGGCCCTAGTCTCCCTTCTTACATCCTGTGCTCTAGCCCAGCCTTACCTCCTCCCTACTGTGACTGATCCCTCCAGCCAGATGTCCCTGCCTCCTGCTTCTACCTCCCTTCCTTCTCCTGCTGCCAAACCAACCCACTACCATGTTTTTCTTAAGCCCGGTTTGGACCAGTTACTCTCCCCTGTAAAACCTTTTCCTGTTCTCCACTAGCAGTGAAATAACCCTCAACCCTGACTGTTCGTTCGAATCAGCTGCTTTTCCTAGCCGGTGGGCATGTGCGAACTGTTGGTTCCCTTGGTCTGTGGGAAGCCCTGGTAGCAGTTCTTAAAGGCTTCTCAGGAGACTGTAAAGGCATCCAGGGTTGCTGACCACCTGCTGGCCTTTGAGAGAAGGTTCACCCTCCTCAGGCGAGACCTCTTATCATCGGCAGCCAGCCCACTCCCCATCACCTTCTATAACTCTGGGCATTGGCAGGTGCTCTCACCTCTGCCTGAATAATGCCCGCTCATCTTTGAACACTCAGCTCACATAAAGAACTCTCAGAAGTCTTTCCTAACTCTCTCAAGGACAAGTATTCACTCGCTTTCACACGTAGACTCTATAATCTCTGTTAATTATCTCTCATATTACACTGAACTATTTACACATTTTTCTCCACTAGAAAATGCTTGAGCCCATAGAACCAGTCATTGAAAACTTCAAACTCAAACCCAGATCTCTTACTGTAATTAGTTTCAGGGATGCACAAATATAAGCAAAACGAGCATTTCTTTATCTCATCGCCCTCGAAGCTTTACTAGTGAATAGAAAGGGCTATCCTGGGATTCCTCAGGCCTCGGTTTGGGCCACCTGCAAAAACAGGGTCAAACAAATAGTTCTCATTCAAGACCATCTGCAGATGGTTCTACAAAAAGCTGACGGGCCACCTACTCACAACTTTACAGAGGTCTCTTTGCCAAGTTTATGTGTGACTCGGGGCCACCCAGGAATTGTTTAAGTCGGGAAAGACATTACTGCACATGAATTCAATGACTATTCTGTGAGTGGCCAGAACTGCCATTTATAGGAATGTATTAGGGGCCTTAATTTGTTCAGTCCTCACAACAATGTGATGAGGTAAGAGTTTGTTTTTTTTTCAGAAGTAGGAAATTGGGGATCAGAGATATCAAATAGTGTGCCCCAAGTCACACAAATTGTAAGTGGCAGGACCAGGATTCAAACCACCATGCTGCCATCACAAATTTGGATTCTTCCCACTGCACCACACTGCTTACAGAAACTATAATGATGTTTGCTAGGCTAAAAGGACGGATCCTGCTTTTTAAGTATTGTTACCAAACTGAGATTTCACGAGTTACGAATTCTAAAGGTTTCTCTATCTCAACATGACAACGATTTCTGAAATTTTGCAATTTCTATTTCTAGAAATAAAAGGATCCATTTATAGCATATAGGGCAGCGTTCTCTTGCCCTCTTCTGGGTTCGCCAGACCATATTTTTGTGACACTTCTTTTCTTCTAATTTCACTCTAGCCTCTGGATTATGAACAACTACAAAATGCACAATTTAGTATTGCTGTCAAAAACAAAGCTGCGTTTCACCACTCAGTAATCTCTCGGTATCGAGTCCAGTCCACCCAAGTTACAGTTAAAGTTATAAATGTGCTAGAAGGAATTGCATTCCGTCCTGCTTCCAAGACGTTCACTGTCCAGAGAGGCATGAGCATTAAAAAGCTGGCTAATTACATCCTGGGAACCTATCCAGCCATTGATGAAGACACTAACAAACCTGCCTCCAATGTCAGGTAAGATCATTTTAATAACATTTTATTATTCCTTGATGTAGTTTTAATCTATAAATTATTACAAAATAACGTCTAAACTATTATATGGCAAGAATACAAAAAATATAGACAAAGGTGGCCAACTAAGGAACCGATAACTGGAGAAGAGATGTAGCTAAATCATTAGACAATATTGTACTATGAGCAAAAATAACATAAGCATAAAAAGTGGAAACTAAAAGAAATATGCTTTAGTCTGTCTAGAGAGGTTAGGAAAATGTTTCACTGAAACTTTCAGTTGAGTCTTCAAGAATAGGCTATAGTACAATAAGATAGAACAAATGTACAAAGATATATACACTTAAAATCTAAAAGCATATGCAAAGTAGTTACTGCAGTATAAAGAGTGAGGACACAGCTAGGTTATTGCACAGGGCATAAATTTGAAAAATAAGACTAATACGTACTTAAAAACACTGTCTATGCTAGCATGTTAACTTTCTGCTGCCTTTTTTTAAAGCATATTTTAATGTCTTATATTCAGTATAAATACATTAAATATAAAATGAATCATTTTTATTAAATAGGTAACATTACATATTTGAAAGAAAACTATTACCTTTTTCTATTATAAAACAGATATATCATGGGACGTAATGATGGTGGTTTTCTAATTATTGATTCAAAAACGGCTGAAATCAAATTTGCCAGAAACATTGTTCGGGATTCTACTTTCATAGTTAACAAGACAATCACAGCTGAAGTTCTGGCCATAGATGGTAAGAAAAATATTTCAATCATATTTAGAAAAGTGTTACTTCAATTGCATTTAGTTATGAATAGATTATTATGATTATTTAACAAATTACCTTCATCACTAGACAGATGAGTTTAGGGCCTTGGGTCCCAAGACTGAGGCAGCTGAATCAAGAAGACTGGGCATTCCAACATCTTATACCCGTGAATTCTGTGTTCTGTCCTCATGGTTTGCTTGTGAATGGGACAGAAGTTTTTTAGACCGACCAGAATTTCTGGTTTTGAGAAGAATAGATAATGATTCATACTGAAAGACTATCAGGGAAGCTCAACTCAAATGTGAGGTACCTATAGAATGAGTTATTCATAGAGACTTCATGTATTTATATCATTAGATCTTCTGGAATGTTTTAAAAATACTCATTGAGTGTGTGTGTCTCCCCATGTAAAATAATTTATGCTTAAGGCAATAAACAAACATAAAAATAAAACAAAAGAGCCCTGGCCAGTATGACTCAGTGGTTGGAGTATTGGCCCGCACACCAAAGGATCATAGGTTTCAGGTTCAATCCCCAGCCCCACTTGGGGCCCGAGAGGGAGGCAACCAATTAATATGTCTCTCTCACATCGATGTTTCTCTCTCCTCCCCCTCCTCCACCCACCCTCCTTCCCTCCAATCCACTCTCTCTAAAAATGAATGAAAAAAATATCCTCAGGTAAGGATTAACAAAAATAACACTAATAAAGTAAAATAAAAGAATAAACACCAAAAATCACATCATCTGGGAAAAGAGCAAAAAGCATAAGAGGAAAATAAAAAATGATTCAATCCCACCACTGAGAGATTTAATTTTATTGTTTTTGATTGTCAACATATTTAAATTTTCCTTCAATAAACTTTTATATCTTAATTAACAAAAATAAATTGTATCTTATTCAAAATACTTTGGCTCAAGCTTTAGAAGTAAAAATCTTTCACACAATGCAGGAATCATGAAGTAGGATACATTTAAGAAAACTATTATTTTTATGTTGATTTCATTTGTAGTCAGTAAACTCACCACCTTTACAGGTCCTGGTTCCAAGCATATTAAATTAATAATCCATGCTACGAATTAGAAATGCCAGCCAAGTTAATAAATTTAAATTTGCTTTTCCCAAGAAGTAGAGATGGCAGGTCATTTTTACTTGTAAGAATAACAAATGTAATCTCTCATAAGAACATTAACTTGGCTGCATGCAAGAGAAATTTAAAAGGTTCATTTTTTACTCTCTCAGCTCTGCATTGTTACACTTGGTTTTCACATGTGTGGCTTTCGTAAAGGGGAGAGAGAGAAAGGGTCGCCTGAGGACCTCAGGTTAGCCTCACAGTGGCCACTCTTTCCTTGAGGGGCATAATAGGCTAAAAAATTAATTAATTAGCTAATTAATTAATTAATAGAAAATAAAATAAAAGGTTCTTTTTTAACAACTTGCTCTATATATCTTTTTAACTCTAAAATGTTATCCTTACAGAAAACACGGGTAAAACATCTACAGGCACCATATATGTTGAAGTACCTGGTTTTAATGAAAATTGCCCAACAGTTGTTCTCGAAAGGGGACAAATTTGCAGCTCATCACCTTCCGTGGTTGTCTCTGCTAGAGTGCAGGGCAGTGATAAATATACTGGCCCCTACACATTTTCACTAGAGAATCAGCCTCAAAAATTGCCATTTGTGTGGCGTATCACAGAAATTAATGGTGAGTAACAGTACAGTAGCATCCATGAATGAGAGTTACTGCTTCTTTATATTTCCAGAAGGATAAGAGCTCATGTGGGAGCAAATTCTTTCCAAGAGCAATTGAAGAAAATACTTTGCAATGAAGATGTGGTCCTCGCCTCGTGAATTTCTTCTTTTCAACAGAGGAAAGAAATAATATGACATAATGTTAGCACTATTTAATATTTTCTGTTTTTTCATGTGGACTCCAAATTTTTAATTTATTTTTATATGTTATTTCTACCTCCAGAGCACACCAAAAGATTAAAGTCAGGTATCTGTTTTATTGCAGAGCTGTTTAGATTTCTGAATACATAGATTTTTCTTACTGGGTAGGCTGTGAACAGACAGAAAGCACTGGATGGGTCGGCCTGCTCAAGGCTTATAGGAAGTGCACATGGGGAAAAGAGATTTGTAAACCCATTAGCCAGTGGGAAAGAGCTAATCCATCGTTCCTTTACATCTAACCTTTATCATGTTAATTTTACATTTCCTATCTTTTCTAGGAGTCTCATAGAAACAACCATTAGACTTAATAAGAATCTCCTCCCTTTCTAAATTTTATAGTGGCCTTCAGGCCACCTCAAATCTCTTGTAAATGAACTCACTTTTCTCTAACTCTTTTCTAAACCAATTTTGCTTCCTGTTATAAATGTACTCTGTGGTGTCCTAGTCATAGGTATCAATCAGTCATTGCTAAGTCACCAAAGGAATCTTGTTCTCCATGGTCTTCTTTCCTGGGGCCTTACTGATCCTGGTGTATGGTTTAGCTCCAAATTATGCAGGTAGCATTTAGCTATAAATGGGTTTACCAGACACATGGCCAATGAAAAGGCTGCAAAAAAAACATCAGAGAGAGACAGAACCTGGCACTAGACACGCCTGCTTGGGTGAGGCTCAGCCAGACAACTGTGGTTGGACTGGGTGGACCAGGCATAACGGCAAAGGGTATGGTGGAGTTAAGGCTGATCCAACACTAGTCTGTATGCCTGGAACTAATACAAAATACTATTGAATGTAAAATAAGCAAATAAAGATTAATTGAAGCGACACAGCCCTGCAGCTACTGAGAGGTGCTGCTGGAGCCCATTTAGAAAGGGACAACATAGCAACGGAGAATGGAGAGCAATCAATACTCATGAGTCAGATAGACAGCAGGCCTTCACCACAGGGAATCCCGTACAACCAGCACTAGGCTCATGGGATAGGACTGACAGGAGCAGTTGAGGTAGCATCAGCCAAAGCAGAAATTCAGTCTAGGTAAGTCAGGCACAAAAGCACAGAGTTAGGCAGCGGGGATACAGGCAGAGGGCCACACAAGAGTCAAGGGATTGGTACAGACACAGACATACAGAAGAGTGGATAAGCCGCAGGAGAGAGACATCTAGGATTTAAATGATGCCTGCCCCCTTCCTCTTTGTGGGGAAATTCAGGGTAGAACTGAGTCTCCATGGGGGAGAATAATGGGCCCATCTGGGACAAGGAGGAAATGTAGGCTCATTTACCCAACTGAATCCCTTATAGTCTTCATAGCTGCTCAAATCGCACCCTATTAGCCTCACTATCTGTGACAGTGATGTTATGGAAACTCTGGTTCTGTTAACAAATATAAGTTGTTTTAAGAGCAAAAGACACCTTATCGCACTGTTTGATGTGTATGATTGTTTCTTTACAGCTACCTCTGCGCTACTAATGTCCCAGGAGCAGCCCTCCCCTGGAGTATACAGAATCTCCCTCGTAATTACAGACAGACAAGACAGGCAGTGCGACACTCCAGAGAGTCTGACTGTGGAGGTCTGTCAGTGTGACTACAGGGACATCTGTACAGCCCCACACACTGGATCCAGGTATAGAGAGTATTCATCTGTGAGGCTGGGGCCTGCTGCCATCGGCCTGATACTCCTTGGTCTTCTGCTACTGCTGTGTGAGTATGCCAAAGCTATGTTCTGTTGTTCACGGGGTGTCAGCATTTGCAGAGGTCTTTGCACTGCATGGGCAATGCATCTCTGCAATGCAGTAAAAACGTTCTCTGATTATTCTATAGAAAAGCTGGGAAGAAGTGGCATTTTCAGGAAGAATCTGGTGTTTCAAGTTAATATGTCACTTGCCAATAATCTATATTCATACACAGCAAATCAGGTCATATATGTCAGTCATAACTTATAGTCATAAATGTTAGACAGCATAAGACATAAGAAAGTCATAAAGGTTAAACATTTAGAAAACAGCACAAGATAATCAAGAGGAAAAAAATAAAGCATGAATACTCTCTACACCCTGCCAGTAATATTCATGGTCAAAATAATGACTTTATCCATGAGTGAGACACTCTAAAATGTCCTCACCATATTCAAGTCTCATGAGATTCTAAAATAAAAACAGGACTTTGAATAAATGAATTTAGGAAAAATACATAGCATATCATAGGCTTTGAGCTTTGCAACACACATTAATATATCATAAGCTCTGACACGTTATTGTTTAATCCAACATTTCCTCAAAATAGCTTACTGCCTGAATACACATCCCCTTTAAAGCTTCTACACTTAATATGATTAGGTTTATTGAATACATTTAGGAAAACTACATACATTATTATTTTTCAATAGGAGTAAAATGTATTTTACTCAATAGATAGGTTTCTAAAAAGTTTCACTTAAATCAAAATCTTGTAAATCAAATCATATTTTTAATTTAAAAGAACTTTTGGTAAATTCTTATATAAATGAGAGAAATCCTTGATAAATTCATAGTCAGACCCCTAATTTATTATAAAAGCATAGACTTTTAGAGTACAAATGATTTTTCATTATGATCATATGCACTTCAACCCATTCATTTAAATATTAATTTATGAAATATTTTTTAACCATAAAGAAGTATAGAAAATTAGGCCCTGGCTAGGTAGCTCAGTTGGTTAGAGTGTTGTCTGATACACCAAGGTTGCGGGTTCATTCCCTGTCAGGACACATACAAGAAGTAACCAATGAATGCATACATAAGTGGAACAACAAATCAATGTCTCTATCTTCCTCTCTCCTCCCTCCCCCTCCCTCTCCCTCCCTTTCCCTCTCTAAAATCAATAAAAATAAAAGAAGTACAGAAAATTACATTACAGGCACAGATATAACCATAAATTGGAGTTAACAGATTATTTGCACACATATAACCTTATAACTAAAACCAGCACTCAGACTTAACAGATATTAATATTTGCCATATTTTCTCAAATCTCTTTTAAAAATAAAGAAATTGTTTTACATACATCTAGTGGTCTACTCCACATGCCGTATATTCTCCTTCCTCTTCCCCCAAATTGTTTGCTATTCTGTAGTTATTGTGCAGCAATTTCTTTACTAGCTGAAATTGACAATCAGAATTTCCATTTTTTGATATCATATTAGTCCTTTTCAACAAACAAATATTTTTCAAGTGAATACATGTGAGTCTTTATGCTGGCTTCCAGCTGAAACGGGAACTCGATTCTGGTTTCCACTCAGTTCACAGATTTATGCATATCTATCTGGGAAAACAATTATGCCGTGATCAGGCTATAGTAGAAGGGAATACATAGGAATATTGCAGAAGCTTCACAGAAGCTTGAGCCTTGAAAAGAAGTAGGATATAGTAACTACAAGAAAGAAAGGTCTTTCCAAAGAGTAACAGTGTGAGCCAAAGCCAGAAAATGCTTAGCTTGTTTTAGGGATCACACAGCCTCAGGAGGCTAACACCTGGGAAAACTGTGGAGTGAAGATGAAACTGGGGAACGCTTTGGGGCCAACTTGAAAGGGCCTACAAATACATGGTGTTTGTACTTCAAGCTCTGAGAAAGGGGAGTTGTTGAACGTATTGGAATAAAAGACTAGCACGATCATATTTACACATTAGAAACAGAACACTGTGCAGCAGTGCAAACTGTACAGTAGAAATAAAAGAACAGTTAGGAGGTTATCGTAGTAGTTCAGAAGAGATGAGGCCAACATTAGAGCCTTGACATGAGATTGGAACGAGGCATCACAGGGGTGCGTGGAGAGAATCTGGAGACTAATGGACAGAAACAGGGGATAAGAAGTCCAGATGAACCATTTAACTCAGTTGTTGCTGACACCATTAAATGAAACTGAGACTATCAGAGGAAGTGCAGATATGTAAGGTGGCAATCATGAGTTCTGATTTTGAAATGTCAGATGTTGAGGTGCGGAGATGTCCTGCAGGTCACTGTGGGATTGTGGGTCAGGGTGGCAGTCAGAGAAAAATAGTTATTCCCACAATCACATTTGCCGCATGCAACCAACTTTGCAACATGCCATGATTTGAATTTTGTACAGAACAGAACAAACATTTTTCAGTCTGTGGAAATATACTCAAAACTTTGAAAAATTTTCTGTGGATGCATATAAAAATAAAATACATATTGTACATACAGTGATTAATAAACAAGCTTCCTAAGAATATAATTATAATGCCCACCTAAAAATACTGACTATACAGGTGTGCATTCATCACCTTTCAAAACTGATTTATCAGTCCTGGCTGGTTTGGCTCAGGGGTTAGAGCGTTGGCCTGCGGTCAAGAGAGACCTGGGTTCGGTTCCCGCTAAGGGCATGTACTTTGGTTGCAGTTTGTCCCCAGCCCTGGTTGGTCATGCAGGTGGCAGCCACTCGAGGTGTCCCTTTCACGTCGATGTTTCTCTCTCTCTCCTTCCCACTCTACCTGAACAAAAAATGTCCTCGGGTGAGGATAAAAAAACAAAAACAAAAAACACACAATATTCCATCCTTCCCAAACCTTTAATAAAGTCATATAATTGAAAATGGCAATAAATAAAGCCTTTAGAAATATCATTTACATAAACATTAAATTAAATTTTAATTAAAAAATATATTAATTGCATCCAACCTACTTGATTTTATACACGTGGCCTAATTCTATTTATTTATTTATATAAATATAAATATATATATGACCAGCCTCATTTGCATAATTGGTGTAGCCTATCCAAACAATACCAGCAAATCCTCACAGAGCTCACTACCATCCTTTACCCACTAACTCATTTAATCTTCAGAGCAATCTATGATGTAGACACTATTTATTCTCCCATTCCTTGGATGAGTTAATGGAGGCAAGAAAATATGGTGAGTGGTGGAGACGAAAATGTAAACCCTAGAAGTCTGACTCCAGAGGCAGACTTAAACTCCTCACTAAGCTGCCTGTAAGTGGACAGAGCTCAAACATTAGAATTCAAGTGGCTTTTAAAGGTCAGAGGCAGGCAAGTGTGGTCACTGACTACTTAGTATGGGAAGCGCTTCTTTCAATCTTTTTTTAAAAAGATTTTATTGATTTTTAGAGAGAGAGAAATATCCTGCACACGCCCTAACAGGGATTGAGCCCGAAACCCAGGCATGTGCTCTGACCACTGGGAATTGAACCGGCAACCTTTCAGTGCATGGGACAACACCCAACCAACTGAGCCACACAAGCCAGAGTGTTTCCTTCAGTCTTAATTGCCAAGAGGTGACAGACAGGCACAGAAAGAATGATAATCACTCTGGCAGGAAGGCCCCTCCAAGCAAGGGATTTTTAAATCACAATTAAGAGTGCACTAATAGCAGATCATCACTCTACTTGCTGAGGAAGTTTGCTGATTCGATTGCTGTTTACTAAGAGCATTAGAGACCAGATTACTAAAACATTGTGCCCACCTAAAATCTTAACCATCTAGGTGTATATTCACTTGATACCATATACATAGCCTCAACTTGTACAAATAAATGCAATAATAATAAAAACATATTACGAAAAAGATTGAGGAACTGAACAACCGCCTTTCTCAGTCATCAAACAGTGCCTATTTTAAGATAACAGTATACATATCACAGGAATGATTTGCTCTGTCTCCTTCAGTTTCATAATCATATGAAGTTTTAGTTTGCTTAATTTACTAAATTTTATTTGATAAAAACTAGCTGTGCTTTCTATTAGACATTCCATAAGTATTCATAATATTTTATTTTCTTTGTAACATGCCTGACAATTGTCATGTCGAATCATTTCCAAGGGATTCAAATGTTCTGATATTTTGTTTTCCTTTGTGCTAGTGGCGCCCCTTCTGCTGCTGACCTGTGACTGTGGGATGGGTCCTATTGGGGGAGCAACAGCCGGCTTCATCCCAGTTCCCGATGGCTCAGAAGGAACAATTCATCAGTGGGGAATCGAAGGAGCCCAACCTGAAGACAAAGTGAGGATCCAGTTTGTAAAACATTTATTTTAGTTATATAGAGTAAAATTCTATTTATATTCAGATAGGAAAGGGGTAATGGGATGTAAAAATAAAAGACTCCTTGCCCTGGCCGGTTTGGCTCAGCGGTTAGAGCGTCTGCCTGTGGTCCCGAGAGACCCGGGTTCAGTTAAGGGCATGTACCTCGGTTGCAGTTTGTCTCCGGCCCTGGTTGGTCGTGTGGGTGGCAGCCACTCGATGTGTCCCTTTCACATCGATGTTTCCCTCTCTCTCTCTTCCTCTCTCTCCCTCCCACTCTGTCTGTACAAAAAATGGAAAAATGTCCTCGAATGAGGAAAAAAAAATAAGAGACTCCTTGACCCTCACAGACCCTCGTGAGTCAGTGCTGAAATGAATGGAGCCTTTTAAGATCTTAGTTCTTGATGTCAAATCATGAAAATGGTTATTCCGGCAAGAACTTGGGTTTCTTGTAACGTCACCATTTGCCAAGAGCCGCAAAAATCTGTTTGTTTGTTTTTTATTAATATATTTTTTAACATGGTTTTCAGGAAATCACAAATATTTGTGTGCCACATATAACTTCCAGTGGAGCTGATTTCATGGGAAATTCTGGTAAGTGAACATCAAATGTATTTTTTAAAATAACAGTGGGTTAAATAAGAAATGATGAAAAATAAGAAGTATTCTAAATTCTTTTATTAATAATTTACATATATGTGTAGATGCTTGGAGATGGTACCATTGTAACAGGGTTTCAATGAAGTGGCTCATTATTAGTATATTAGTCAATTCCATGATCTAGCTCTGGCTTCAGTAAGTTCATTTGCCCACTGCTGCCACCCTTTTTAATATCTGAATATTTGTTATACTATTTTCAAACTTTAAGAAATTGATCTATAGCTCTCACAAAGTCAATTATGAACTTTTTACTTAGAAAAGATTTGACACATATAGAAAAATGTAAAGGAAAATATAACACTATGTACTCACCACCCAACTTTGACTATTTTTAACATTGGTAATGTTTTCAGTTAAAGCCTCATGTGGCCTTCTTCCTTCCCCGGAACTAACAGTATCCTGATTTCAGTTCAATTACCAATTCTTATTTCAATCATAATGGCACAAGATTGCTTATGTTGTCATATACGTGAAGTTATTTCTTTGGTTTACCAAAGACTACTTTATTCGTATTATCACAATGCCACAATTAAGACATAAGCTAGAGGAACAGTAAGACCTTAATGCCCAATATTAAACTTTTTCTTAATTCCATAATTAGCAATAGATTGTTTTTAAATATCCAGCTGCAAAATCTGTATATGTCCTGGAAAATGTAACTGTCTGCCTTTATCAGCAACCCCAGTCCTCACCTGCTCCCCAATTATAATTACATAGCAAAAACTATATTGAGCATTCTCTAGAAAAAAGAACTTTTCATGAGTCTGTGATGTAAAGGTAACAAGGCAGAATGGTCACAACTCTGTTACATTTTCCTCAGGCACCAAGACACCAAATTAGCATCTGCTAATTTGCATGATTACAGTATACATACTTCCTCTTTGTTTTTCATATTGAGCCAATATGTCAGCTTAATAACAATTTCCCCCCCTGGAAACAAACAAGCATTGCATTAGAAGCTTTCCACGGCTGTGTGCTGAATATTGTGTTTTCACTTTTCTGTTTCTGGCCATTGTCACTGAAAATCCTTTTCCTTTGCATATTTTTCAATTAGTATTTTTCAGAGCTGGTTCATCCGAATATGCTCTGTTATACCCCCACCTCTCTGTTACTCTCACATAACAGACTGTGGGATGTTCTTATCACCTCTAGACATATCATTACGTTTTCTCCCACTGATTTGCTTCACTTGATGACTGCTCATGGATATCAAAGACCAGCATAAAAAAAAAGAATCGCAGCATGATATGCTACAGAATTTTCTCCCGTTTTTAGAAGTTTGTACAAATACCTGTACCAGAGGAATGGCGGTGGAGGAAGCTTCAGGAATAGAACTGACCACCAAGCTTGGAGCAGCCACAGGATCTGGGGCAACGATGGGATCTGGAGCCGTCGCAGGGCTCGGGGCCACCACTGGCCTTGGCTTCTGTTCTGCAGAACAGTCTGCAACAATGCAAACAAGGCATTCCATGGGAGGAACCCACAAGGACTACTGCGAGGGAGCAATAAGCATGAATTTCTTGGAGTCCTACTTTTCTCAGGTAATTGGAAAACTTTGGCTCTGATGTCTTATTTACATGAGAGATCTTTTTACTTTACTGTATTTCAGTTTTGCAGTTCACTGTTTTACAGCTCGTTAAAATGCAAGAAATATAGGGTTTCTTTGCCTAAGTAATACAGATCAGCTAGGAAGGCTGCCCAAACTGGGCTGCTGGTCAAAGGAATAATGGGTAAATAGACGCAAAGTGAGAGAATGTAGCAAGTGGCACCTTATCCTGCCAACTGGAAGAGCAACAGACAGCAAAATCTGTATTTCAGGATCTGCAGCATCCTCTTTAGAAACACAAAGCAGCACATTTTGTATTTCCTATACCATAAAGAATGTCAGAACATATGTGCATATACATTCTTATGAGAAAGAGATACAATATTCTTCACATTTACAAAGGTGTCCCTGTCCAGAAAAGTTGAAGAACCACTGAATCAATGACCCAAAAATAAAGCGGGGAGGAGGGATGTGATCGAAGATTTGGTGAGAGTAGAACCGCAAAGGGTCAAGGGTGCAAGAACAGAGAGGGCTTTGGGAGCAGGTCGCTTGCCTCCTGGCTGGTGTGTCATTCAAACAGGTCTCACATATAGTTTTGGTATCAGAACTGGTAAGTGCCAGGATCTTGCCCTTGTATAAGCAGATGGAAGCTGACACTGTGTTCAGGACAGCCTGGTACGGAGGGTTTGTTTGGGATGAGGATTCTTGGGATATTCTGAGGTGGTGTGGGCTCTAGTTAAGGGACAGGCTCCCACAAGAGCTTCAGGGTCTAGGCAAAGGCCCCAGTCTGGGTGAGAGCTGTGTCAGACAGTGCACAGTGGGATGTCTTTCCCCCTACCCCAGACACAAAGACATGCATTAACACAAGTACACACAAGGACCCTCACACTTGGCCCAAGTAGTAACCTCCAGGCTCCGTACACATTTGTTTCGTAGGCCTAAATCCATATGAGTGCCTTCAAACTCAAGAATTAAAACATAAGCCTAGCCCAGGCTCAATTTCAAGAGAATGTCCACTACACTACTCTCCAAACACCATATAATTTCTGTAAGATTGCTGATACAAAAGAAAATGTCTTTATGTCTATGGATTGCCTAAATTACGCATTCATGATCCAACCTTGATTTCTATGAATGCTATTATATTCAACAACTGAGTCTCTTTTAAACTTCATTTTTCTACTTTTCTCCACCTTTAGAAAGCATGTGCCTGTGCAGAGGAAGACGATGGCCAGGAAGCAAATGACTGCTTGTTGATCTATGACAACGAAGGACTGGGGGCTCCCAGTTCTCCTGTGGGCTCCCTGGGTTGCTGCAGTTTTATTGCTGATGAGCTAGATGAGAGTTTCTTGGACTCACTGGGCCCAAAATTTAAACAACTTGCAGAGATAAGCCTTGGGCTTGACGACAAAGCCAAAGAATCTCAGCTACCTACCAAAGACAGCGGTTCTGGGATTGTATCCTGCGGCGGTTCTGGGATTGGATCCTGCGGCCATTCTGTAGAAATCCAGCACTCAGAATGGGTAGACCCTTCTAAGTGCCAGACCTTGTCAGGCAGTCATGGAGTGTGTGTTTTGTCTGCTTCTGGCTCTGTCCTCCAACCAGCCATTTCCATTCCTGACCCTTTGCAGCAGGGGAGCTATTTGGTAACGGAGACTTACTCAACTTCTGGCTCCCTCGTGCAACCTTCCCCTGCCATCTTTGATCCACTTCTCAAGCAAAATGTCATCATGACAGAAAGAGTGATTTGTCCCATTTCCAGTAGTCCTGGCAACATACATGGTCCGACTGAGCTACAAGGGCCATGTAAAATGATCTGTAGTGAAGATCCTTGTTCCCGTCTAATATGATCAGAATGACCTAACTGGCCACAAAAGCATCTTTGGACCAAATTATCCATAATATCATAGCAAGGTTCAGAGTATTGGTCTAATCTGGCACTTACTGGCTACTCTCATAAAGTGATCATAATTACAGTTAAAAATTTTCTAGCTCACACCCCCAAACTGAAGATTTTGCCACTCTTAATTCTCAAATATCATTTGAGTGGTAGTAAATGTTAATGTTTTTCGAAAAACCTTAACATATTCAGTAGGAAAATTTCTTAACAATTTTTAAGCTTCTACTTTTGCAGTGCCAAAGAAAGGTGTTTATCGCTTTAAAATGCAATGCACTTTTAGTAGATTAAGCACTTGGAGTCAAGAGTCCCAGTTCTTGTCTTTGTCACTTTTTCTTATATCATTAATAATGATGTAAGTGACCTAAGGTGTTTGCTAAAGCATTTTGAGCTGCTGGGTAGGGAAAAACAAGAACTAGTCACAGTTGAATTTTTTTCCATCTGCCTGGTGCTGGGAGACCCTAAGTGCATCTTTTGCTCAAGCTGAGTGCTACTGGCTTATGAATTAAACTTGCTACATCTATATGCCTCATATTCTAACAATAAGATAATTTTATCATAGAACATTTAGGAAAGTTTAGTATGGTGTAAATAGTATTTTGGGTTTCTTTAATCATCTTGAAATGATCTATCCAAAGAAAATGTTTTATACTGAACTCCTTCCAACACACTTCTCAGTAACAGATCCTATGTTAATGAAAAATGCTCTTTATTTTTTAAATGTCAGTGGATGGATGTAACTTACGTACGATATATCATGATGTTTATTATGTTAACAATGTCTACAGACTTCATGGGACTACAAAACATGCCTTTTCTCATAAGCAAAAGAGTCCTCTAACTAGAATAACACAAGATAAAATTTGTAAATATGTATTATAAGCAGAATTTTAGGTCAAATAGGATATGAAAAGGGATTACTAGGAACCTCTATTTTTTTTTTAAGCCTTACAAATTTAAAATTAAACAGCTACAGAAGTTTAATTCTTGAGTGTAACAATAAGTTAGTGAAGGTTTAGGATATATTATTTCATTCATGTTACCATGATAGCAACGCAATTCTTCAAATCATTTCTGGTCATTCAAGTTCTTGAGCCTTTAAACCATAGAATGCACCCTACCTGGTTATCAACATTATTGTCTTAACTGAGTCTTTACAAGGTCATTGTCCAGTTCCATTATCTCTAATTGCATGTACAATTCTCCTTTCTTTTTTTTTTTTTTTTTTTTTGCCATATTCAAAACTGATCTTTGTTTTTTCAGATGGAGTGGAAAGTAATAAATGTTTGTGTTTTAACCCAGAAGTGTGCAGTCTTGAGGATACGTTGGGGGAGAGAGATCCCTTAAATGTCCTTATAGCTAGCATTCTTCCCTCTCCCAAATGCCATGACTTCCAGGAAGGCATATGCTAGGTTAGCCTGAGAAGTGCAGGTAGCCTGTTCTTCCAAGACAAGGGTTCTGCTGCAATAAGGCCTGAAATGCACTTGAGTTGAGGGGAACTTGACCCAATGGAGCAGCCTGCCAGGTCCTGAGGAAGTCACTTTGCTATTATCACTGGGAACCTCTTCTCTTACTTCTCAAAAGAAGCTTTCTCTGGGATGTTGCACACACACTGTTGAGCTGTGCCTCTGTTTATACATGAATTAAATTAATAGTCATAACAACCCTTATTCCAAGTTCAAAAGTATATTCAGGATCCCCAAAGTATTTTAACTTTGCCTCTTAAAATATAACTTTTCAGGAAATAAAAATTTTGCTGCATTGTCAGACTGGAAAGGAAACCATGCCATAGTAGTAAAAGTTATATAATGGAATAAGTGAAATTAAATGTGTTTTGAAACAAAAATAGATCAATCTTGTCTATAAGGATCTAAAACTGATTTGCTGTGTAAAACTTAATTCAACCAAAAATGTACCTGTATTTTTTCATCAAAAATAAAAATGTTTAAGAAGAAAAGAAAATGCTAAACTGTCCTTTTACTTGACGAATCATCAATTTTAAACAGTATATATTAAAAGTTTAACATTGTTATAATAAAACTGGCAACAAATTTATGAGTACTCCCCTAACCATTCACTACAAGCTCAACTACTCTCTATAATTAATAGTTATTTAAAAATATGATATAAGAAAGTGACTTACATATAAGTTTTTATCAGTATATTACTTTTTTTTTCTCTAGATGATACCTATTCTGCACCTTCCCAGGCAGGAAGAAAATACCTGGAGACTCAGGAGCTCTTCTTCAGGTGAATCTAGATGGTACTGGATGAGGTCAAAGCAAACTTTTACTAACTGGTTTCTTTAACTCGTTTATTATTTGTTTGGTAATGTAGACTTGTCCTTCAGGCAAAAGTTTTGACATTCTATGATGACTCAGAGAGAAAAGTTGAAATAAAGAGAAGGTAAGATTTCTAGCCTAACATGATGAAAAAAAATATATCATGTCTCTGCTGACAGCCATTAGCCACAGTGAATACTTGTTATCTTTATGCCTTTATTTAAAGCAATGCCACATAGTAAGTCTCTTCAGAACTTCGGATCTTGCAGCTGACTGACTTCCCTCGTTCTTAAATGCAGACTTGGACTTGGTGTTTGGGCCGCAGAAACTACATTAGAGTGGATGCCGAGTGAGGAGAAGTGGATGGCTTCACTCGAGTGTTCCAACTCAGTTTCAGGAAAAATGAAAGCCATGTAGGTAAATTCCAAAAATATCACCGGTTTCTCCCAGTCTTAGAAAATTCAAGGAATAAAAACCTTAACTTTCGCCCTGGCCGGTTTGGCTCAGCGGTTAGAGCGTCGGCCTGCGGTACAGAGAGACCCGGGTTCGGTTCCCGCTAAGGGCATGTACCTCGGTTGCAGTTTGTCCCCGGCCCTGGTTGGTCGTGCGGGTGGCAGCCACTCGATGTGTCCCTTCACATCGATGTTTCTCTCTCTCTCTCTTCCTCTCTCTCCCTCCCGCTCTATCTGAACAAAAAATGGAAAAGTGTCCTCGGGTGAGGATAAAAAAAAAAAAAACCTTAACTTTCAAAAATCAAGAATGTAAAAGGAACACATTCAACTGACTAGCTTCAGTGCAACTAACAATTAAGAAATAAGTAAAAATTCAGGATCTTTCCTTCTTGTTGTTGGCAATTCAGCATTTTCTCAGCTCCTTTACTGGGCGTACAAAGAGTAATTCTGAATCCCAGATTATATAGTCTTAACACTTGTTCAACAACATAGTCTATGATTGTTTTAAGGAAGGGGGAATAACTGATCAGAAACCAAGACAAACAATCATTTAAATTCCAGGTGACTGTAACGACACGTTTTTCATGATGAATACTGAGGTTCCTTCTGCTTTATCTGATCCAGACGGTACTGAGATTCCTTCTATGACAAGATATCAAGGCACTAGCCGTTCTAGGTTAGTTTGTTTGCTTTCTTTCTCATTTATACATTGACCTTTTTTTTTTTTTTTTTTTTTTTTAACAAATACAAACAAAAAATCTAAACACAACACAAATGTAAAAACTCAAGAGAATGATGGTCTAAAAGAACAAGTGTAAATGTATGTAGTTACCAGAGTAGGAAGAAACCAGACATGGGTGAGTGCTGCCTACCAGGTGGCCAGGAGACTTATATATTCTAATGTAGTTCTTGAAGTAACCCTAAGATTACAGTCATGAAAAAAGAGACTTGGGAATAACTTCCTCAAGGTCATATTATAATGTGTCATCAATATAAATGTTTATCTCTAATAATTCAGCCTACTGATCATTATTATCCTCAGAATAATCTCTTTATTTTCATCTCTAAGACTTGAGTACAACATGAAGATTTGGAAAGAATGCAAAGAAGGCCTGGCCTGTTTGGCTCAGTAGTTAGAGCATCGGCCTGTGGTCCAGAGAGACCCGGGTTCGGTTCCCACTAAGGGCGCATACCTCTCCCCGGTTGGGGTCGTGCGGGTGGCAACCAGTAGATGTGTCCCTTTTGTGTCCATGTTTCTCTCTCTCTCTCTCTTCCTCTCTCTCCCTCCTACTCTATCTGAACAAAAAATGGAAAAATGTCCTCAGGTGAGGATAAAAAAAAAAAATGCAAAGAAAACAGTGAAAATTATTATTTTTAATTTTAAAAGATTAGAAATCTATATATAATTCTAAAGATTAAAGAAGCAGTGTAATGTAGGCATATATATATATATATACATACACACACGCGCGCGCACACACACACAAGCGTGGGCAAAATTAGGTTTACAGTTGTGATTACACAAAACAGTTTATTCTTATGTTATTTATTATGTATTATTTTCCACATAAACAACTATAAACCTACTTTTGCATATCTGTGTGTGTGTGTGTGTGTGTGTGTCTGCGTTTGTGATGAGAGAAACAAAGGACTCTACATGTCTCTCTATATATCTAACATTGAGAGAAAGAAAGAGAGAGAAAGAGGTAGAGATGGAGAGAGGGATTAAAAGAATGCAAATAAGTTATTTGCAACTATTTCGAAGTATATGTGAGGCTATTTTTCATGGCACAATGACCAGTTCTCTTGCACATTTAATAATGAAAACAAGCTACATAGAAGTCATGGAATCTTTATTTAGTAAATTCCTTAAAAATTATTTTGACAGTGTACTTTTTAGAACAAATTATGTGACGTGTCTAGATATAAAAATAAATTTTTAAAAATTTTTATATCTGTACATATTATGAAATGATCAAAGTCTAGTTAACATCCATGACGCTACATAATTACAAAAAAAATATTTTTTTTCCTGTGATGAGGACTTTGAAGATTTATTTTCTTAGCAACTTTCAAATATGCTATTCCATATCATTAACTAAAGTGACCATGCTGTACATCACAACCTCAATGCTTATTTATTTTATAACTAGAAGTTTGTACCTTTTGATCCCCTTTACCCATTTCCTCTCCACCCACTTCTGGCCCCTGGCAACTACCAATTTGTTCTCTGTATCTATAAGCTTGGTTTTGCTTTTTTGTTTTTTTTTAATAATAACTTTAAATGGGTCCATTCATCTTAGCTTTTCCATGATTTGTGAAAAACAACACATTTTAGCAATTATTTTACTCCTTAAAGCTATCTCCATTCCTCCTTTATTCCCCTGAAGTACATGGGACCATTGCATTTTTAATTTTATGCCTCAGAACGTCTCTGATGTTTTTTCTGTGTGCTGAGTTTTTCATTATTAAATGAAAAAGCAGTAAATTTTGTATGAAAACACAGAACATCAAATTATGATAATATAAGCAAAGCATTGATATTGGAAGAATATGTATCTCTTCTTTTCCCAAGAAGCACAGGAAGCATTTATATTGTTTCATCATCAAGAGAGGATTGCAGAAAGCTTTCTTAATTATAAAGCAGTACAGAATCAGGTAATCCTGTATTTATTTAAATGGCATAATGACATGGTTTTCACTCCTGCAAGGAGGCTTTTTTACTAAGCTAAAAATGAGTATCTCAACACCAAATGTGTGATTAACTTTAGTCATGTCCCTCCATGTCCAACTGACTAGAACTGATAAGATTTATATGTTCCTAACTAGGAGGTAAAACACACAAACACACATGCACACATATCTGCCTCCGGTAACCATGTAGCTTGGCTTAGCTGAAGCAGTGTCTTTCCATCATCAAATCCATGGACCGAACACACATGCAAGAAGTCAGCTCTCTAGATTTATTATTCAAAAGAAAAGAATCACCTAGATTTGTCACCTTTCTTAGGTAAAGCACAATGAAGAGGACTTGTTTGACCATACTTTTACTTATTCTCATCCAGAACTGACATCCACAACTTTTGATTAGTAAAAAAAAAAAAAAAATGTGTAATAGGAAATGGAAGGATTTGTCAAGGGTTCAAAGATTCAGTTATAAAAGATGAGTAAGTCCTAGAGATCTATTATACAGCATAGAGCCTATAATTAACAATATCATATTTATACTTCAAATTTTGCTAGGAGGGCCCCCTGGTGTGGCCCGGTGGTTGAGCACTGTCCCA